ATCTAAAAGTAAAGTATTATATCATATTTAAAAGCGCAAGTGAACCCAATTGACCAAACTATATATATATATATACTCACACACAGGGTTAAAAAAATAAATATAATATGTTTGGTCTATTTGGTATTCCCTGATTCCTCCATCATCAACATACTAATGACATTGTAAAGACTGAAGGGAAGGCCAGAGGTCAGATATATAAGTTACATAGTTAGGTTGAAAAAAGACACATGTCCATCCAGATTGAAGGGAAGGCCGGAGGTCAGATAGAAGACTGAAGGGAAGGACGGAGGTCAGATAGAAGACTGAAGGGAAGGACGGAGGTCAGATATGAGACTGAAGGGAAGGACGGAGGTCAGATATGAGACAAAGGCAGGGAAGGACAATTTGGAGTTGTCCTAAAAGAACAACTCTATGAAAATGGTCTCTATGGGTCATTGGGTGATTGCAGTATCATGATTTCAATTGCAGTGGCCCAGGAAATCTGCATTACATCCTTATGTTCCATATTATATAGTGTGTGTGTGTGTGTGTGTGTGTGTGTGTGTGTGTGTGTGTGTTTATATAGCTGTTTTGTATTGTGCAGGTGTTATTCATGAAACATAAACTGACCTCTTGGTGCCAATCTTTTAGGACCGGAAGAAGAAGTTTGACAGGGACAGCGAGAAGTATTACTCAATGCTGGATAAACATCTCAATCTGTCATCCAAAAAGAAGGAGGCCCAGCTCCAAGAGGTGAGAGGCCCAGGAACTGATACTCTTGGACAGGAGTCTCCATAAAGCAGGAATTATGACATGCATCTGCGTGCACACAATCATATAAAACACCCGCAGAGAGCGCCGGCGTGAATTTCCGAGGCGGTTCTTCCTGCAGATCTAAATGTGCGGTTCCACATGAGTGAACAATGGGGATTGAAGGAAAGGCCAGTGTGCACGTTCAGTAGGGATTTGCAAAATTGGGAGCTTTCAGTGAAATCATGAACATTACTTTGAAATGTTGCCAATTTGCCAATTACTTCAGAGTCCATGAGGAAGGCAAAATATAAAGTATATCTAAAGCCTAAACTGCTATCTGTGCCTACTAGGGGGGTTTCCCTTTATTTCCTGTCCTGTAGACCCAACAGGAAGTGGAGGAATTCTGTCCCCATTGGGCTCTTATACTCTATTCCTTTTTAGGTGACAACACAAAATTTGGGATTTTCAGGGGGTCACCGGGACAAATTAAGGGGTGAAGCAGTTCCACAGACAGTATATACTGAATCTTCCAAGTTGAGTGATGCAGTTGTAGGGGCGGGGGCTGGATGCCAGGGGAGGGATTGGCAGTGAGGGGCGGCAGGGTATGGAAACTAGCAGAAGGATTGGCAGAGAGAGGTGAAGGATGGAAACCAGTGGAGGGATTGGCAAAAAGAGGCGGGGGATGGAAATCAATAGGGAGATTAGCAGAGACGGGTGGGAGATGAGAGCCAGTGGAGGGATTGGCAGAGAGGGGTGGGGTTGGAAGCCAGTGGAGGAAGTGGCAGTAAGGGGTGGGGGATGGAAGCCAGTGGAGGGATTGGCAGTAAGGGGTGGGGGATGGAAGCCATTGGGTGGACTGGCAGAGAGGGGCAGGGAATGGAAGCCATTAGAGGATTTGGCAGAGAGGGGTAGGGAATGGAAGCCATTAGAGGGATTGGCAGTGAGGGACGGCAGGGGATGGAATCCAGCAGAAGGATTGACAGAGAGAGGCGGAAGATGGAAACCAGTGGAGGGATTGGCAAAAAAGGGGCGGGGGATTGAAATCAATACAGAGATTTGCAGAGGGGAGCGGGGAATGGAAGCCAGGGGAGGGATTGGCTGAGAGGGGTGGGAGATGAAAGCCAGTGGAGCGATTGGCAGAGAGGGGTGAGGGATGGAAGCCAGTGGAGGGATTGGCATGGAGGGGGGGGGAATGGAAGCCAGTGGAGG